AAAACCTCCACGTTACGATCAGAATTCTGCATGCGGCTGGTGCTAGGGCCACCCATCTGAAAGTATCCACTGTTTGTATTAACAATTTACACGTCCTTCTTACAAAGATCCCTACGAATATTCACATATTATATTGGGGAATACATATATAAATATCAATATGTGTTTTTGATTTATTTTTTTTAATCAAAGCGTTTCGAGATATTTGGAAGAATTTAAGTTATTAAACGCAAAAGACAATAAATTTAAGGGGTTTACCGATTTTTTTAAATTTTCTCTGAAGAGCGCAACTTTACAATTTGAATGTTTTACCAGTTATTAAGTAAAGTATTTTTCTAAATTTTTTTTAGTTAAAATATTATAACATTTTCGACATATTTTGGCAACCAAAATACTACACAAAAAACAAAGGTCAACACGAACTGGGAAGGTCGATTTAAAAAATTTAAATGCAATTATGATCTGGATGAATGCGGAAAAATGCGGAATAAAAAACTAAAAACGCCCTGCAAAATAAACTAGTCTATGACTAGTGCGATGACCGCATGTATGCTGAACATATTGTGCAAATTTCGGTTAAGTCGTTTTTGAGAAATCATGTTGACCAGTTGGAAAAACGTGAAAATAAGTTAGAAAAGCGAGCTAACCTAAGAAAACTTTTGATTTTTGTAAACGGTCACATGGGTCAACCCTCTTAACATTAAATAAAATGCAAAATGCATATGTTGTTAATAAGAGAACGAAAAATGAGATCTTTAAAGAAACACGAAGCGCTCTGCAGTTGTTCTTGTTTCGGTTATTTTTGAGCTTAGGTAATTGTAGGACTGACATTTGTAAGCTTTAATAATAATAGAAATCAACATTATAAAAATTTTAAAAAATATACATCATTCTTATAATGATTCTGACTCCTAGGACTCTGTCACTTTGATAACGTTCCGATTTATGGGAACGTAGACTTCGGCATTTCTTACCTGCACCACACCCGGAAATTCGCTCTTTACGGCAGCTCCGGTACGCACGCTTCCCACCGTAATAGTGTTGGACCCCCGTTGGCGACGTCCCTTTAACGACTGCAAGGCCAACCGACGCTCGTGCAGCTCTTGGTTGACTGCGTCGGCCTGCTCGCCGTCAGAGTACAACATGCGCTGACCCACCGTATACCCGAAGTGCTGGTGGGCTTCCCTTAGCTCCTCGAGCGGCTGGGCCCGGCACTGGAGACCCAGGCGAAAGATCTCGTCGGCCTTTTGCATGTTGCCGCTCAAGTCACAGCAGTACGCCCAGGCGATGTAGAAATCCGCGAGCATCGTGCCAGTCCCGCGACTATACATTTCCTGGTACAACTCGATAGGGTTCTTCAGCTCTTGCGCCTGGAATCGTGCAACGGAGGGGGTAGAGATTGGCTAGTCCACAAACTTATTATCCTTACTTACAAATTTAATAAACAGCTTGATGAACCGCCTGTCCTGCTGGTAGCGAACATCCTTTTCGAATTTTGTGAGGCAGTCCTTCAGAACCACCTGCAATTTGGATTCGCTGCCGCCCGCCGGATAACTCTGCTCGATCCAGCAGATGTATGCGTGCCATGGGTCCAGGGGATCCTCGCCGGTATAGTTCTCCAATTCCTTCTTCAACTTGCTGCGCTGCGCAACTTGCTCCTGGCCCTGCGCGGAGTCCAGGCTGAGTGAGGCCTGCAGCAGGCTAACGTTGCGACCGCTCGCTAACGGTTGGATGTTCTCCTTAGCGGTATCGAAGTCCATTTCAGTCCCCTGTTTCAATGGTGCAATTATTTACCGTCGTATTACAATCATAAAACCCTAAAAAACAAAAACTTCGCGCCGCTGAAATGCTAGGGATAACATTTGAGCTAGCGATATATCGATATATGACATTTGACGTTAGTCGATAGTTCGAGTTTTACAGGGTTGGGAGCTCAGCCAATTACACGGTGGTTCATAGGAGGCGTATTTGAATTTTTTAATTATTAAATTATTATTTTATTGCTTATATTATATTCATCTTAATTATTTTTAATGTTGCTTAACTTAGTTTTATAAATAAAAAATGTACTTCTGTTTTTCTCAAAAAAATTCCTATAAGTAAAGTTTTTTAAATATTTAAACTTAGAAGTGTAGTTTTGGGTACTTTTGAAGGGCTTTAACTTCAATACGTTTTATTTTTTATAAGCAATCTTTACGGCATCTTCAAGAGCTGTTCTTGTATTAAAAAGGAGCTTTTTAAAGTTGGAAAGTTTTTTTTTTTGGTATACAATATATTGTCTCTTGAATTTATATCAATATTTTTTCATAAATCTCTGAGTGTGTCGAATTTGACATTATTGGAAAACAAGAAAGGAAGCTAACTTCGGCACGCCGAAGTTTGTATACCCTTGCAGATTCCAATTAGATCATTAAGAATCGAGCCATTCTGGTTAAATAATTAAAAAATAAAAATAAAAGAAAATATATAAAAGTTGTATATTTATACATATGTACATGGCATAAATAAAATGCTGAAAACTCACACAAAACAGAGTTTCATTACATTTTACCTATACTTATTATGTTTACAGTTTGACAGTTACAGTTATACATTTCCTGCTTTACATTTTCTTTACATCTACGGATCGCTTTTATGGCAGCTATATGATATAGTTGTCCAATTTTCATAATATTGTTACCGAAATTCTGAAATAATACTAAAAGCTCATGTCTCAAAGTAGATGAAAATACGTTGAAAAACAACGAAGTTATACTTTTTATACCCTTGCAGGGTATTATAATTTCAGTCAGAAGTTTGCAACGCAGTGAAGGAGACGTTTCCGACCCAATAAAGTATATATATTCTTGATCAGCATCAACAGCCGAGTCGATCTAGCCATGTCCGTCTGTCCGTCCGTCTGTCCGTCTGTCCGTCCGTCCGTCTGTCCGTTTCTACGCAAACTAGTCTCTCAGTTTTAAAGCTATCTGAATAAAACTTTGCTTATAGTCTTCTATATACTCTCACTGCTATATATGTCGGAACGGGCCGGATCGGACGACTATATCATATAGCTCCCATACAAATGATCGATAAATTTTTAGAAAAAAAATTATAACTTGGCTGTTTTTTATTTCAGAATTTTGGTAAAAATTTCATGAAAATCGGACAGCTATATCATATAGCTGCCATAGGAACGATCGGGAAATTAATAGAAAAAACATTATAACTTCGTTGTTTTTCAACCTATTTTTATCTACTCTGAGATATAAGCTTATTTTATTAGTTCAGAATTTTGGTATAAATTTTATGAAAATCGGACAACTATATCATATAGCTGCCATATAAACCGATCGGTAGATGTAGAGAAAATGTAAAACTGGGAATGTAAAACTGTAACTGTCAAACTCTAAACAATAAGTATAGGTAAAATTTAATGAAATAATATCTGCAAGGGTATACAAACTTCGGCGTGCCGAAGTTAGCTTCCTTTCTTGTTTTACTTTGAGATATAAGATATTTCAGTATTTTGGTATAAATATTATGAAAATCGGACAACTGTATCATATAGCTGCGATAGGTTAGGTTAGGTTAGGTTAAACCGGACGGCCCTCGAGGGGCCACACATAGGCCAATATGGCCCATAGCTATCCGGGGAAACTTCTGGATGGACCTAGAGACTATTTATGCGGGTTTCGAGATCCTTGAATATCAAGGTGTTTTTCGCAAAGGCAAGGAGTTCGCCTGGCTTTCTCCTGGAGGCATCTTCTAGCGATGCCAACACTGGAGAGCGATAGGTAAATGTAGAGAAAATGTAAAGCTAGGAATGTAAATCTGTGTGTGTTTTCAGCATTTTATTTATGATATGAAATATACAACTTTTATATATTTCCTTTTTTTTTAATTATTTAACCAGAAAGGCTTGCTTCTTAATGATCCAATTGCAATCTGCAAGGGTATACAAACTTCGGCGTGCGCAGTTAGCTTTCTTTCTTGTTTTAATATTAATAGAATAACTTGCGTGATTTTTGCTAAAAAGAAAATTAAAATTGAACAAAACTAAATTTAAGATGAAACTATTTATGTGTAAATATTTTTGACGTAAAGAAAACGTGTGTAAATACTTTTGACAACTTGCATGCATATACTCTTTTGGTTTTATCATTATCCCATGTACCGTTGTATTTCGCATTCCTTTTTGAGTTGCTTCTGCATAGACCAAGTAACGTGATAAAAATATTTCGGGGAAATATATTAAGAACAACAAGAACAATAACTACAATAAGTTTGGATAAGCAAATTATTGTTTATTGTGTAAATACTTTTGACTACCTCTGTATATACATATATTCCACCCTAAATCTTTCTTAATTTATTTGCAAAATCTTTGGCTTTCAAATATGTATATCAAAGTTTGAGTTCCATAACTATAAAATATTTTAATTTTCTCGATTCAAAAACAAGTAAAACACAATAACATCTATAGAAATGTATTAAATAATCACCATCGTTGGCCCTCACAATTTAGAAAGCGGACACTATTTGCTCCGTAAATGAATTAGGCCAAGTATAGTTTTGTATAGTTTTCAAACTTCTAATTTAATTTCTATATTTTAATGGGTAAAAGGTAGTCACGATGGGTGAACTTTGCTTCGTTGGCTTATCCAATAAATTGGCTGGCAAATAAGCGGAATGAGAACCGCCAGCCAGCGTTTAATTGTACTCATCTCTAATGATGTCATATGTAAAGCTCACTTTTCAATTCACGTTAATTGCGCATTTTATCATAAAATCGTTGTAATTTCACAGTGTTGCTTTCATAAAAGAACTGCAAGTTTGTAGGGCTAGATCGGGCCGGGGCTCGTTGATTTCCCCAAGGGAGATTAAACCGCACAGATGACTGGCACAAATGAAGAGGAAAGTGCCCAGTGTCTGGGTTATATTACCGATGTTTGTTTTATAGTGGCAGCCAAACAAAAGTTGGCGTTATCATGTCGGGAATGCGGCAGGTAGCATCTAGTTCTCGCCCTGGGTAATCGGCAGCTTGATAAAACATATTAAAGAGCCCTGTCCCAATCTCGACGGCTAATTGCAGTCATAATCGCTATATGGCGGGCAGAGCTTTAACTGTCGCGTTCAGACGTATTTCAGCTATTGGCACGGCTGGACGCGATTGACTAAACTCACATTCGAATCCATACAAGTCGCGCTTTTTTAGCACAAAATTAAGCTTACGTCCCAGTGAAAAGAAATACGTAACGCGAGCCCAGTGTGTAGACCACTTTGTGGGAATGACCGCCGAACAAAAAGGTGAATGAATAATTAATCCCAAGAGCTTTGGCCATCAAGTGATAAAATAAACAAAAACAAAACAATGCTCGTATAATAACAAAAATTATAATAATATGCGGATTCGATTATATTATTTCGAATGAAGTGTTTACAAAATCAAATGGAATCGCAAATTCATATTTAATCCGATGAACTGAGGAAGGGTTGCTGATTAATAAATATACTTTATTTTAATTATAAAGTATGATAATATTAGATTTTGATATCTTAAGAAGCTTGGGAATTTTTGACGCCACGATCCAATCTTATCAAAGTGGTCAACTAGGGATAAGATTGGCTTATCTAGATTATTCACTATAAAGATATAAATAGAGGTTTTTACTCGTTTGAACTGAGAGGGAGTTTATCGAAAAATACTTGACCGTGTAATTTTATTTGGAACACTGTTGAATTACGGCTTTGATTATTTATGATTTATGACCAAGCCTGACCCCAAAACAGTAGGCTGGCAAAACTGGTCAATAAACTCGACCAAAGAGTTAGATACAGCAAATAAATCCCACATATTCGTATAGCCCCAAAGAGCAATTAAGTATGGAAATTTATTGGCCAAATTGCGTGTGCCATGTACGCTGGTTTTGTGTACTTTAAGATGGCTCAAACCTATGTAAGATCGTTTAATTTAATATGTGCAAGTTAATTATACAAAAACAATATATGTACTTACATAAAGCCCTACAATTTATAACTCTATCAATTATAAATTTAATTATGAATAGATATGTATATATAATTTTCTTTTTAATACATATGCAACATATGGTAATATGTACACAGAGAGAATTTAAGTCATCTGAGATGTGTTTTTATCCCTTTTTGAATTTTTATTATAATATTAGTTTGGAGTTTTCAACGCAGGGACGGAGTCATTTCCTACCCTAAACTATATATTCTTGATCATGTCCGTCTGTCCGTCCGTTCGTCTGTCCGTTTATACGCAAGCTAGTCTCTCAGTTTTTAAGCTATCTGAATGAAACCATTTATACTACATATAGTTTTCTGACTACTCTCACTAGTTTATAAGTCGGAACGAATTAGATATGTTAGTAGCATTTTCTATTATATTAGAATATCATATACATAGCTGCATCTGCAACGATCGGCAGATGTATAGAAAAATGCCAAGCTGTGAATGTATAACTGAATGAATAACTGTATAGAATATTTTATTATATGTAATATGTAATGTTACTAAAAGTTTATATATTGCTTTGATCAGCATATATGTATATTTAAAATTCCAAACTTCATCGTGTCGAATTTTGCTTTCCCTTCTTGTTTTATACTCAATTTCAGTATTTTGAATTACCTTTGAGTTCAAAAGTTATTAAATTGTTTTACTTTTCCATACATTTAATTATTTCTTCTTTTAACGAGTTTTAATTCTGTGAGTAGTGGAAAGGACGTTATGGCATAGGGCCGCTTTCTACCATAACTAGTAAATTGTATCTGGAACTTCATCTATCCGTGAAAATTTAACAGTGAGGTAATAACAGAGTCACAGCTTATAAAAGTCTAGTATATATATTCAAAGAAGGTAAACAATTTTTGTTTTGCAACAAATAAGTTTCAATATATGCACATGCTATATATGAAACGATGTTCCTAAACTTGGTCCATGCTTAGTTATATTATATATTTTAAACGATAATTACAATGACTTGCTTTTTGCTGAAACAGCTTCTGCAATTTAATATGTTAGTTGTAGTATTAGTAGTAATAACGATAATCTTTGGTTATCTTGGTCTTATCGGACTATCTTACTATGGTAGGTAGGTATAATGGTGAGGTCCTTCCTTTGACCTCCAAATAGACCTCGGCTCCGATTTGGTCCATATCCTCTCTTTCCTGATTGTGATGTATGTTTTCTTCAGCTCCATCGTGAATCATTGAAAAAAGCAAGTTTGCAGCTAACCTTGAGCTTCCCTATTTATCCTAGCGATTTTAGCGATTGTCTCCTGTTTTTGTTCCTTGCAGCTTTTGCAGCTGTTGCTATACATATATCAGCACCATCTTTATTGCGTGCCATTATATAGCCCGGTCTTACTTACAGATCTTTTGTAGGCTTCTTCTAGAAGTTCGGCCAATACAACTTCAATATACTATGTTAGCTTAGCGTAGTTTTGAAATAGTCATGGATTGTAGTGTGGACCGCGTTAAGCGGCATTGATATTCCTCTAATATTACTACGTTCAGCCGAGTCAGCTCGTCGGTCTTATCATTCCCAGTTATGTCGTTGCCCTCGCACCCAGGTTTTCTTTACGTCGTTATATTCAGCAAGTTCATTAAGGGCTCTTGCATTCTGACACTAGCGTGAGTTCGTTTTCACAGCTGTTAGAGCTTTGATAGCCGCATTGACTATCTTTGCTATCCCCAAGGCCTCGCTGTATTACTAGTCTTGCCGCCTCCAGTACATCGAGTACTTGAGCCTGGAAAACTGTCGCTGAGTTCGGGACACTGAAAGAAGTCGATTCAATCCCCAAGATCTCGGGGAAAATCCCAGCTACCCCACCAGAGTTCATTTTAGAGCCATCGGTGAAAAGTGATGCCTCGTTTCTAGCCCACTCTTTCCTCTATGGGTAAGAATTCGTGTAGCCATTTCCGAATATCAATTCGGGGATCACGTAGTCTGTGTTTTGATATGCTCGTGAAGATATCTCATCAAGGATCGAGCAGGGCATTGTTCGATACGGTATTCCCTCTAGCAATTGCTTGCCTTGAGTCTCACCGCACTCTGAGCCGCCGTGCCATTGAGGAACAGTTCAAGCGGCCGCCGAGTACGAGAGCAATGCTGTCATTGCTCCTGTTTATGCCTTGTTAGTTTTGTTGTAGGCACTCCGTACCTTAATATTGGTCATATTACTTTTTGGGTGTTGTCCCCAGTTTTTTTTTAACATTTTACTGCACAACTAGAATGGGATTCCCGCTTTCTTTCTTTCCCTCAATATTGCGCTTCCATAAGAGCTTCGGGTCCAGTATTACCCTTAGGTACTTCGCCTGCTCTGCTAGCTGTAGTTCGATGCCATCTACCATGGGCATGTTGTTTCATGGGATCTTTGATCTCCTTGTGAACACCATTAGTTCTGTTTTGGTTGTGTTAAACCCTTGTCCACAGGATTTTGCTCAATTATTTAATCGTTTCAAAGCTTCCGACATTATGGTACTTATAATGTACGGGAAAGGACCTGACATCAGCGTATGCTTCTGCTTTTACTCCCCCACAGTTGAGTTCCTTCAGTATGTGGTTCATGTTTATTAGCGAGAGTAAGGGCGACAAGAATCCGCCCTGGAGTGTGCCTCTCGAGAGGTGAGTGCCACCCTGTTCTAACTATTTGTATAGCTAAATAGATGTTGTTAGGAAGTTGTACAAGAAAAGGTCGTACAAGCGGATAACCTTTTCATTTAGTTTAAATCGATTGCATCCCACACTTCATTGCGCAACGCCATAGCTAAGTCTTAGTTTGGGGATGCCATTTTCACTCTCTGTAGATTTAGGTTATTTATCGGAAATTATCAACTTTGTATTGATCCAATCAGGAAATCATTGGTTAATATTAGTAAATAGCCTATTTGTAATGGAAACCTAATTAACTTTTTTGTAGTGCACTCAACTGATTTGCAGCGACAATTCGATGTGATAATTAATGCCATATGGGCCAGGGGTGACTTAAAACGAATTGATTAGCTGCATAACAGCAAACGGAAGTGTATTTAGAAACGTTGAAAAACGGTAAAACATTTTTTAATTTTTTGTACTGTTTATATTTCGGTTTTTTTTTTAAACACAAGTGTGGAAGCTGTTAACTTATCGAACAAAAATTTGCGGGCAGGATGAATTAAAATAGTTTATGAACACATTTATATATTTAGTGTAAACTGAAAATTTATTAGGGGAAATACGGTTTAGGTAATTTTCGAATTTAAAGAATTGAAAGATGATAATTATTAATTTTTTTAAATTTATAATCAAACAATCTTTTAATGTTTCTGTTTTGTTTTGATAAGATGGGTTATTCATTCAACTATGAGATTTCTGCATAATTAACTCGATTGGAATATTCCTCCTGGTAATCTCCTAAGCAAAGTCTCCATAAATTGAATTTGTGAACAAATGAGTAAGATTTGATGTTAGACAGCATTATTCCTGTTAAGAAGGCTGAAATATTCGCACATTGCATTGTCAGGAGTGCCACAAAATAGCTGTAGGCCTTAAATCAATTGAAATGCTTTAAGAAATATTTGCAACATACTTAAACATATATATTCATTACATATTCTTGATCAGCATCAACAGCCGAGTCGATTTAGCCATGTCCGTCTGTCCGTTTCTACGCAAACTAATCCCTCAGTTTCAGTAGTCTCTTGCTCCTTCTTACTATGTAAGTCAGAACTGGCCGTATCTGCTTTATCATATAGCTGCCATAGAAAAGGTGGGAAAATTTTTAGAACACAATTAAAACTTTGCTGTTTTTTCACTTTATGCCCTCTTTCAGGTCCCGTAATCGGCATCCGCCATTTGCAGGCGTTGCTGCTTTTTCTGGCCATCGTCGTCAACTACACTGCTCGGCTCAGCGTGAGTGTGGCCGTGGTGGCCATGACGGATGCAGCTACAACCAATCCTGATTTTCCGGTGAGTCTGATTCGCATAATGTAAGCATTGCTGAAGTAATGGCCGCCACATATCGCCCGCAGGAGTACGAGTGGACGGGGGCGGAGAAGTCTTATGTCCTGTCCAGCTTCTATTGGGGCTACATCGTCACCCAGTTCCCGGCCGGATTTCTGGTGCGGCGCTTCGGAGCTAAGGCGGTTCTGCTCATCCCCACGCTGGCCACGTCCGTCTTGAGTGGGCTCACGCCCTATTGCGTCGGCTGGGGCGGCTGGCAGGCCTTCAGTGTGATACGCATTATTGAGGGCTTGTTCCAGGGTCTAATCTTTCCATGCATACATGAACACTTGGCCAAGTGGTCGCCGCCGCAGGATCGAAACCGCTTGGGCGCCTTCGCTTACTCCGGTGCCGACTGCGGATCGGTTCTGGCCATGGCCAGCAGCGGACTCATTGCCAACGGTTCAATGGGCTGGCCAGGCATCTTCTACGTATCGGCAGGCTCCTGTGGCCTCTGGTGCCTGCTCTGGTTGGCGCTCGGTGCGAACAACGCTCCCAACAGCCGCTGGATTGGCATCAAAGAGCGCGAACACATCGAGCGATCGATGAAGCGGCCGGAGGGATTCCACGCCCAGAAGATTCCGATCCCGTGGCGCGCCATCTGGACATCGGCACCCTTCTACGCCCTGCTGATTGTGCGCAGCGCCCAGGGTTGGGCCAACTCCACCATGCAGCTGCAGACGCCCTCCTACATGCACGGCGTCCTGGAGATGGACATCAAAAGCAACGCGCTCTACTCCGCCCTGCCCTTCCTGGCCATGTGGTGCATGTCCTACGTGTACCTGGTCTTTGCGGATGTGGCTATGTCGCGGCGCTGGATGTCGCTGACTACGCTGCGCAAGTCCATCAATACCGTCTCCTACTGGGGGCCGGCGGCGGCACTCATCGGGATCGGGTTTCTGGACAAGAGCCAGACCAGTCTGGCCATAGCTCTGATGACCATCAATGCGGGTCTCAACGCCGGCTCAGGCATTGGCAGCATTCTCACCATAATCGACATGTCGCCCAACCACTCAGGCATGCTGATGGCCATCGTCAATGGTATTGGCAACATATTTCCATTGCTGACACCACTCTTGGTGGGCGTTATAGTAACCGACCAGGTGAGTGAAAGCATTGCAATCTTATTATACCCTTGCAGGGTATTATAATTTCAGTCAGAAGTTTGCAACGCAGTAAAGGAGACGTATCCGATCCTATAAAGTATATATATTCTTGATCAGCATCAACAGCCGAGTCGATCTAGCCATGTCTGTCTGTCCGTCCGTCTGTCCGTCTGTCCGTCTGTCCGTTTCTACGCAAACTAGTCCCTCAGTTTTAAAGCTATCTGAATGAAACTTTGCATATAGTCTTCTATATACTCTCACTGCTATATATGTCGGAACGGGCCGGATCGGACGACTATATCATATAGCTGCCATACAAATGTTCGATAAATTTGTAGAAAAAAAATTATAACTTGGCTGTTTTTCAAAAATTATTCCATCATTTTTAAGATATGGTCATTTTATATTATTCCAGAATTTTGGTAAAAATTTTATGAAAATCGGACTACTATATCTTATAGCTGCCATAGGATCGATCGGGAAATTAATCGAAAAAAAATATAACTTCGTTGTTTTTCATCGTATTTGAATCTAATTTGAGATATAAGCTTCTGGTATTATTTCAGAATTTTGGTATAAATTTTATGAAAATCGGACGACTATATCTTATAGCTGTCATAGGAACGATAGGGAAAGTAATAGAAAAAATTATAACTTCGTTGTTTTTCAACGTATTTTCATCTACTTTGAGACATGAGCTTTTAGTATTATTTCAAAATTTTGGTAACAATATTATGAAAATCGGACAACTATATCATATAGCTGCCATAGAAGCGATCCGTAGATGTAGAGAAAATGTAAAGCTGGGAATGTATAACTGTAACTGTCAAACTGTAAACATAATAACGACGCATTTTCGCGAAAGTATCGTATGTCGAAAAATCCAATTTTACAGGAGAAGCTTTTTTGTGCTTTAATCTCTTAGGAAGCACTATAGAAAAGACAAAATTGAAACTTAATTTTTATCGGAACTATAGGGTTTTCAGTTATAATATTTCACAGGGTAGTGAGACATTAGGTGCCTAACAATTTTGCATTAAAATCTCAATTTCGAAAAAAAGCGACATACGATACTTTCGCGAAAATGCGTCGATAAGTATAGGTAAAATGTTATGAAACTCTGTTAAGTGTCTGTTTTCGGCATTATAATTTATAATATAAATATGAAAACCAATCTGCAAGGGTATACAAACTTCGGCGTGCCGAAGTTAGCTTCCTTTCTTGTTTTTTACATGAATTTAAATTCCAGAATAAGTTTGTTTTGAAATTTGGGTTCTTAAAATGGTACTACATTTCGCCATTCCATTATTGAGCCTTAAATGTATGTTTTAATTATACCCGGTAACCATAGAGTTCAAGAATATTATAGCTTGGTTTAAATAACTTGTTGCAACAACTTTGTTTTAAAAATTGGTCTTCACACATAATGAATTTCTGTAACTAGGCTAGAATAGTGAATTTAAGTTTGAGTAAAGTCGGATAATAAACAAGACTCTGTGTGTTTTGTAAACTTTGCCAACAACAAGTTTCAAGCTAGATTTGTCTTTAATTGGGTGTTACGGATGTTCCGTTCTTCGCAATATTTGTTTTAATTTCTCAAAATTTTCTTCTGCCTTCTGCCCTGTTCAATTTAAAATATTCATTAATTTGAGCGTAATTAGAGCATTAGAGCATAATAATACCGAAAATTAGACCCTGATTTTAGCCTCCAAACTAGTAATTATGTCGCTTTTAGATTGAATTTCTTAAATTCCTAGCTCCTCATGATAAATATACCTTCAAATTAGGGTTTTTTCTTATTGGACTAAAAAATGAATATTTGCTGGTAAAAGTTAATCTAGTGATTAACATAACTTTGATTTTTTCTTCAACTCAGGGCTCCCGCAGCCAGTGGCAGATTGTGTTCGGCATGACCGCCGTGGTGTTCTTCTTTGGCAACCTGGTGTACCTCATCTGGGGGACCACGGACCAGCAGGCCTGGGATGCTGAGGATTTTCTGAAGCCACGTGATTCCGAATGCACTCAAATTGGCCACCAAATGGATCTCAAGCCAAAGGCGGATACAATGACTAAGACGGACTCCAAGACAACATGATTAGCGGCACAGAATTCGGGGATTGCTGCCGGCCACGCGTCGTATGCGCAATGTGTAAGGAATGGAAAGTTGATCTGGCCAGCTCTGATTAAACGAATTTTGCGCCGAGAAATTGCCATTTTAATTAAAAATTCTTAAAACGTTCCGCCGCCCGCGCTTGTATTTTAATTTCTTGTTTGTACGCATTTCTTTCGCTAGCCGCGGAAATTTAATAGAAAATTCTTACTACTCTTTGAATGAATTCATTTTCTATTTCTGCCCGCATTTGCATGCGAACGGCGCAGCGCAAGGACAAGCCTAGTCAAGGCAACAAGACTCCAGCTCCAGCTCACCAATCCAAGTCCAACCATCCCCATCGGAGCCCCCTTTCCACTCACATCCCCAATCCCATCCCATCTCCATCTGCATGCTTATCCTTGTCCTCGTCCTGGGCAGTCAGTCAACGCCGGGCGGCGGCACGGCAAACAACAAGGAAAAAACTTTGCACACAAATCAGAAAAATGGACACTTGGTGGAATTTATGCACGAACGCGTGCACACAGTACGTCGCATGGCCATATTCGGTACGGTCTTGCGGTGGAATTGTTTGCCGGCAGGCTGTAGAAGGCAGCGGAGCCGATGTGCCGAGAGAGGGAGAGAGGGTGAGCGTTTGGCCGAAAGAGGCTTATGGCCAGCAAGTGGCTGCGGCGGCGTTTCTGGCCCAGGCCAAAACCAAAACCGAAACCAAAACGAAAATGTTTTTCAATTAAAAACGTTGTGGAGCGAGCACAAAAATTCATTTGAATTGCACCATCTCTGTCCCAGCCCTGTCCCCGTCCGTCTCCCCGAGTTCCTGGGATTGGGCGAACACTCCATGTACTCAACACACACCCCGTTTCGTACCCCGAAAATCCCGCCAAGCCGCGTCGCTTCAATGACAAGTCATAAATGGGCACTCGCCCGCAGAACCGGATGTCCACAAGAGAGTGCGTATACGCACTCACACCGAGCAGGTAGCACCCACCTGGAGCGGGTATCGGGAACCCATTATATCGGTGCATTCAATGCATATTGAGGCATTTTGAAAATCATGGAAATCTATGCAATCAAGCCATAAGCGGATATAGCTAAGATTCTTAGATATACAATCTTTATGAGGATGCAATTTGTGAATATTTTAGATTTACTGAACACTAGCCAAGTGTCCAACTACCCTCACTGAAATGAATTTAAAAAACTGTCTTCAGAAGTTACAGCTGTAAAAGTGACACACTACACACCACACACAATCATTGATGATAGTCCATTCAAATTACTGATGGAACGTATTAATTAGTTGGTACTTAGTAATTTTTAGTTTTAACTTTTAGTTCTTACTCACCACAACACTTATATTACGGGTTTTCATAGAATTGCAATGTTTTCAATTTAATTTGAATGTTTTCCAATTGCATGTTCTTTAGTAAAACAAACACTCATGCGATCATTTTAGTTTGTTTAAAAATTTAACTTTTTATTCACTTTTGTCAGCTACAATGTATTTTTACTAACTCCTTCAATAGCTAAATCTCCGGTTTTGACACAGTGGCAGTGACCCATTGATGGCATGTGGTACCCTGAACTACAACTTATAAATACTGAAGGGTTATAGCTGAACTCGAGATCTAGTTCAGCTCAATTTCATATATGTACATAATTAGAGACGCCACTATGTATGGTATGTAAGGTTAAGGTCATTTACAGATCAATGTAACATGGTTTGTTCAGACGCTTTTCAATTGGCTTCCAACTCCTGATCTTGTCAGCTACAGAACTCCCCCATTAGTGCATATTTAAAGAACTCCAGACTTCAAAATTACAATCACACACAATTACTATCGAAACTATCTTTGGATATAACTTTATATATTTCCCCGCCGAGACTCGAAATATGTAAGTACATATCCAGCCGAATTAGACCTCGAGTTTAGCTAAATCCCCTCACAATAAGATGTAATATGTTGCCAAAACAAATAAACATATATACAATATATGTTGTTTGTAATATTTTATAACAAATGGTGAACGATGATTATCCCTTTGACATAGGTATACATGCATATTGAATGTGCTTAATGACATCATCGAAGTCAAGACGTTAGAAATGATATGACCGCAAGGGTTTCGATCTGAATGGAATCGCAACTTAAGTGCACTTTATTATTCAGGGGGCTGGAAGGTACGGAAGGCAAAGCTGCCAGGCTGCCATTTTGTTGGTATATGATGTGCAGTTCAATACATTCACTATGGAAAATTAATGATGATGTCGTGTGGTCAGGGCCCCAGCAATTAGATGCGTCAATACATAAATTGTCGGTTTACGATACATGTAATCTGGTTTCTTGGCGTGCATTGCCAAATTATAATTGAGCCAGCTGGCGGCGGGCGCTCGAACAATGGAGCAGCAGACTCAGGGCGACCGGTTGATGTATTTACGGTCCAGGCCGGGCAGTTCGTCTCAACATGTGCGCCCAAGAACAAAGTGGACATCAAGTGACGTCAAGCACAGCGATTGCTTGAAATTAAATTTATGCTCCACGCTTTCAATTGGGGCCCAAACCGGCTGGGCGGTTGACACAACAATAGCTGGAAATTAACAGCCACAAAAGAGACATTCGGCTTGTGGCCTACACAATATGCCGAGCGCCAGCTACGGCTCCGGCTCTGCCTCTGGCCCAGGACCTGGCACTGACTCTGCCTCCATTTGGCTCTGGCCGAGCCAGAGTGCGGGTCCGGCTCGAGCTCCGGCTCCGACTTCGGTTCAGTCGCCCTGCCTACGGGCGTAATAAGTCAATGTCATGTGTGGGGAGTGCTGTGCTGTCGCTGACACCGGAATTCGTTCGCTTTTTGGGCATTTTCTCCGCCGGAGTGCACGCTTAATTAATATTGCATAAGCGCAGGCGCCGGACCCAATCCGTTCGCAGCTGTTGCTCGCTGTTGCCCCATAATTATGGCCGGTCTCGGGTCCTGTTCCTCTGCTGCTGGCACGTTATTGTCCTGCCCACGAGCGTTGGAAATTTATGCATCGCTTTCTTTTGTACCCGGCTCCCGAAGCGCTTTCATGTTTATCGAGTGTATTGAGTGATGTTGTTTTTGCCCCTGCGAAAGGAACAAAATGCCCATCAGCGGAAAAAGGCAAATATTGGTCAATTTACAGGCTTGGTATGTAGTTATACGGGCATGGTTAAATGACCCTTTTGCATTTGTAGTGGATTAACTTTCTGTTATTTACCCCGCTGTACGGAGCATCCAAGTCCATGTTTACTTTAGAGATATTTGGAGAACAAGAGACTTGAAAGCGGTGTACTGATATTTAAGTGCTAAGCATTATGGACATGTGCACAGGAGCAAGTCAAACCAATTGTTATTCTTAATAGTTTATATTTTGATATTCATCGTAAAAGTAACGACCACATTTAAATCAAGTGCAATTTATGCGAAAGCGAGATATACAGCACAAACAAACATATTATGGGCAAAAATTAAATTGAAGTGGAGCAACAACAAAAGCTTCGAAATAAATTGGACATCAGACAGCGACTAACGAGAAATCTATTTCATATTAATAATGCACAAAGCAAGAAGTGATATGGAATCGCTCGGGCTAGATTTGTAATCCAAAAAGGATGCTTCGCCCTTCGTTTTGCTAGTCAGCTTCAAAGCTTTTGGAATATTTAAAAGGTATTTAATACATTATTCTTTATGCTCGGCTGGCTTTAATCAGTGTTGTCTCTGACACCGTTTTGTTTGAGTTTGCATTTGCATTTACATTTGAATTCCACTCTCACTGCATCCATTTGTCTCTGTCTCTGTCCGGTTGCCCCGGCAACCCGGAACCCGGCCACCCGGCCATCCGGCCACCTCTGTATCCACGGAATCGACGTTGTCTGACCTTGTTTCTGGGTCTGAGCCTGTTGCCACCTTTGCCCATATGGCTTACATGGATGAGTGCAGAATATCGTAGCCCAGCCGTGTTGCAAAGAAAACACTTTTGCCATTGTTAATGCTCCTACTGCAAATTCTGTCGACTTGTCGCTATCGTTGCCGTTGTCGTTGTCGTTGTCGTTGTCGTTGGCAACCGGAGTGCTGGGAGGAATTTTTAGAATTCATTGAATTTTAAAACATAACAATAAAGCACTCAAGATGTGCGATGTGCCAAAGCAAACCAAAGGTATGCCGGGTGCACACTGCAGCCCATGGAAATGGGAGAGTATAACATATACATATGTAGTACGTACGTACTAAGTGTACCCTGTCGTTGCTTTTGGGCACGGACTACGGACTACGGACTACGGATTGCGGCGCAGGCAACGAGCTTGAAAATTGCGCGGAAATTTTCAGCAAGTTTTCCCCGCTTTTCGCTGCTGAGGGGGAATCACATTTGTAATGAATTGCAGCTGTTGCATAGATGCTGCAGCAAGGAATGCTTTGCCGGGATTTGCGATTCATTGGCGTGTGTATCCTGCTGAGCGAGTGTGTGTGTGCGTGTGGGTGCGTGTCTTGGGTCTGCTAAACATTTTTTGCAAATTTAATTCGCGGCCATAAACGCATTAACAGCTGAGCACAGAGCCAAACAAAACTGCGCTGAGCTCAGCAGAGTTGATCCACTTCCTCTATGGCACAAGCTTCAATTTATTCAAGGCTCCTTCAGCACTCCCCTAGTGCCCCTTAGCCACCCAGGGACCCAAATACGTTTACAGCAATAAACGTGTTGATTTATTGATTTTGCACGTCGCATAATTTACTTTACCTGCATGATGGCATCAAAAAAAAAAAAGGGGGCGACTACAACAACGGCGACAAGTGGAGACCCAGCAGCAATGACAGCGACGATGACAACGACAACACTGGCGCGCTGAGCAAATAAAAATCCTGGGCTCCTGTTTATTTCTCAGCTTGTATGAACGTGTGTTGCTTGCATTTTGCATTTTCCATTTGCCATTTCACTTTCTTTTTTTCGGTGGTATGATTGTATATCTTGTTGTCAGCCCTCGCAGCGCCCTTCCCCGCCGACCTCCTTCGCCCGTCTGCCTGCCAGCCTGATTGTCATCTTTCTACCCCCTCGGTTGTTAAGCCGGAGTTGCTACTTTTTTGCACCTACCTATCTGATGGAAGCGGCAACACTAA